GACTCTGACTAATTCGTTTGGACCTCCCCTAAAGCTATGGATATCTCTCATGGACTTTCTGTCGAGGTTCATCTCCAAGAAGGCATAAGGGCAAAGAGAGTCTCGTCAATTATTGGAGACAATTTCGCTGGAAAATGGCACTGACAAAAAAAAATCCCTTTTCCCCCTTACTTTGAAGTAAACCTTAGCAACGATTGGTAACATGTCAACACAAAACAGTGATGCCGTTTTACATTATATTTTGTGTCATACTTGTCATCGTGTGCCATGACGTACCGATCAGTGTTCCACGATGTGTTTCGGCACAGTGTGCAGAGTTGATTATCCCTTGCTCCGCTACCTGATTGCTTCTGCTAGTCCTAGATCCTACTTCATACATGTCGCTTCAGAATAAGTGATTTCAAATAAATCGTGGAGCTCTTGGAACTTTTTTACGAATTGATCACTTTTACGCATGTTGCGAACCTCCCGAAAGTCCGGTTAGTGGCCAACAGAGTGCGCATGCTGGTCCCAGATCCAAATTCATTCATTTAGCATCACAACAAGTTGGTTAAAAAAATCTATATCTTTTTTTACTAATTCTCCACATTTACGTATGTTCCTGGTCCTCCAGAGGAACGCTTTGCTGTCCCTTGGGTCCACATTATTGTCCCAGATCCTAATTCATTTAGCATTTCCTTGAAAGCAAAAGACGCCTACGCATCCCTTGGCTTGCACAAGAGTCATAGATATTTTAATGAATGCACACTAAATCTTGAAATCAAAACAATCTGTCAGACGGCGATTGTTTGAGCATCATTTGATGAACATATTAGACTACTTTGTTTATTTTTGAGTAAATGTGAGTTACTCAAATTTACTCACTGCAAATATATTAACTCTGAGTACAGCTCTCTTGCCCCTTGGTTTTCTGTATCGATTTTGCAGTGATCTGGCTGGTGCTTCCAAATATGTTTGTTGAGAAAAATGAAGATTTATAAAACTGTCCCAGCGGTTATGAGCAATAGATAATGGTAAAATAAGACCACTCCCGATATACATTTGCAAGATGTGCAATAAAATATACATTATTTAGAGTTTTGAAAATCGCCATTATGATGTAAACAAACGGTTTGGATGACATTTCCTCTCAAAATTACGTAGCGCACTCTACATTGATGGTGCATCAAAAAAGACTATAGGCCTGAGTGTTGTGCGGAGTCACTCGAAATGGTTGTAAAAAAAAACAACGATCACACATTTAAAAATTTTCGCCGAGATTCCAACAGGCGAGTAATTCTGCAATTTAATTTGCTGAGATTCATTCAAATTGAAGAAGTGCAAGCAAGAGGGAAGCAGATAAGCGGGAAAACAAACCATCCATTTAGTCCATTGTGCTAGATGGAGAAAGACGATGAAACGTCAAAAAGGTCTATGAAAACATTAGAGATTGCTAAAATGTGATTGTATCTGTGATTTGTTTTCATCAGAAAAATGTTTTTTGTCCCTGATGAAAACATTTTGCGTATACGTATACACGACGTAGTGTGCGTACGATCAAGGGGTAATCAACTCTGCACACCTATTGAGGTGCCGAATGTTTTAACGGCGCCGATATCTGCCAATCAAGTATCCCATGAGTTTGGCAACACTGAAGTTTTAATGACTTTCGTGATTGTTTGTTTGTGATTGTGCAAGAAAAAGAAGCGTGATGAATTGATGTATTCAACAATCACTGCTGCGGTATGGAAATTCTATCCGAATAAGAAAACTGGGCAAAGTAAACCAAATCTGTTTCAAGATTCGTACCGTTCATCACCAACAAAACACTGATTGTAGCGGAAGCCGGTTCCGAAGCCCAACTCCGGCGGATCCTCATAAATCCGGAAACGCTCATCAACGAGTACATCATGACATAGTTTGAGATTCTGGTGGATTGCGGCAAGCTGGACGCGGTTCTTCGTCCGTGGCGTTGATTATGAAGCAGTATGACAACGATAGCAACTGCGAGGCGGCGGTGGAACCATAGAGGTAACTCTAAGACTAGAAGGTCCCGAAATAACGTGCTCAACTTTTTGGCTCAGCTCTGGTACTCTCTTCGGTCCCACGCTAATCGATTCACCCCTCGAAACATAGGAAAAACCAATAACCCCTCATTTTATCTGTCAAACTTTCATAGCGAATCAAATCAAACGTTGTGTAGTACTAGAATTTCGACTAGAATAGGGTACGTTAATCGTTTGCTTGGGACCAATAGGCTACTAAAGTGGTGAGGCAATTTAAAATCGTTAGTTTCGTATTGATTGTTGGTGGAACTGTTCAATCAGCTGGAAGCGGAGGGCGGTTACTTGAAGATTAGTGGGGATTTTGCAAAAAAAAATGTTCGATTTACTTCAGGTGAACAACCTTGAGGTGCCGAATGTGGTTCTGTTGTATGCCAAGGGAAAAGTTTGAAGGGCTTGAGGATCGGGTTCAGATTGTCAAAATGTGCTTAATTTGTTTTACAGAAAGCCTATCTAATAAATTGTCTAAGAATTTACAATTGGGTTGCATAATATTTATTGAAATAATCCTGATTATTTAAACAAGGTGGTGCCGTAGATCGCTCATCCGGGAGGAAGGTACCTGATTTGTATGACGCTATGTATCTGGCCACCCTGTGGCATTGACCCATGTTAACCGTGATTACCGATATTGGAAACTATACCGGAAACGCCAAGCAAGTGAGCGTTGCTAAAGTGGATGACCCTGAGAGTGACCTAGTTATTGCTGTTGCTGGTGATGATCTTGGCGCTGGTATTTATTTATCACTCAAACTTGTACAACAACTCTTGCAGGGAATTGAACGAAGTGCTGGCTGCAGGAGAGATCCGAGCAAAGTATTTGTTTGTCTTTTAATCTGGAGTCCGGAGTCTAGTCCGATGGATGTGTCAATTTCATCCTGAAGTGAACTTCGACGACTGTCAGCAAAGTGCGAAACCTTAGCAACTATTGGAACAACGATAACGAACAACAGTGATGCCGTTGCATATTATATTTTGTGTCATACTTATCAAAGTGTGCCCTAGCCGTGTGCCGTGATGTGTTTCGGCACAGTGTGCAGAGTTGATTACCCCTTGCGTACGATAAATGTCAGCAATATCTATGGGGGAAAAATGTCATATTCAAAATTTCTATGACACTTACCACCTCTACTACTATTTTCTAATTTGTTGTACACTCATAAAATAAATCACATAACCAGTGGAAAATATGTGAACTTCACATAACTTTCATGTGATCCCATAATTGGAAATTACACCACTAAATCACATGAACGTTATGCGTCCAATGAAATCTATATGATATGCTATGTGATATTCATATAACAATCATTATCATCGATTCAACCTAATGGTGAATAAAAAAACGTCAAAAAGAGTGTTGTGAGCAGAAATTTTTGCCATGAGACATAGCAAGCGGAATTTGATTCATCTGAGTTGCTCCAAAACTTGATATACAATTGAAAAATTTAATCTTGTATCGTTTTTGCAAGGATTCTGCTACTGCTCGCAAAATTTTTATTTGAAAAAAAATGAAAAATTAAAATAACGCCTTAGTAGTTATGATCTCCCGGATTTATTGAGTGTGAATAGTGCAAATCAGTTCAGATCTGTGAAAAGTCCTAAAATAAGACAGTTACTAATGGAAACTAATCTGCCAGCAATCGAAATATCGCACGTAACTTTTAAAACGGCATATCAACTTTTGTAAACAAAACTTGTTAAGCCACGCCCACGCAAACCAAGAACATCATCGTTTGTTTTGCGTGGGCGTTCTTCTGTTCGAGCGAAAAAGGCCTAGAAGTTTAGATTACAAATGTTGATAAACCCTTTTCAAATGTTGCGCAAGATATCCTCATCAATCGACCCGATCCAACCTCGATCGAAGCTGATCATGGCTAGGAATCATCAACAACAATCACTTCAAAACAAAACAATAACCACATTTCCCATTTGACAGTTCAAAGCATCTGTGTCAACAATCAACATTCCACTCTCTTCCTCCATTCATTATCATGCCGAAAAAGTTTCATTGAATCCGTGAAAAAAATTTTGCTTGACCCTTGCAGACTTACCTGAAGTGAGTGATCATCCATCCATCGCTTCTTGTATGAAATGCGCAAGTGGTTGCAGAAATGAATGGAATTTTCCATCCTTATCTATCCATACGCCAACAACGCACAATCGCAAACTGTTAACCCGAGTAGAAATTCGAATGTAAAAATCTGCATTTATTACGAAGACATCGAAATCCATCGCCAAATGGCTGCTCAATCTTTATTCGGGCTAGCATCGATCACCTTTTTTCGTGTGCAATTCAGAGCTATGGTTTTTACTACTTAGCACGGTGTCTCTAATAGGCCAAGCGTACTCCTTCGCTAATTATATTGTGAACGTTGGCAGATTTGCTAAAGCTGGACAATGCCCACCGAGGCCACACTGATGCCCAGTTGACAGACAGCTGAGGTAAGGTTAGATTTCTATCGGATCTGACCCCTCTCCATCTCTGTCGTGGGGCTCAGAATCTCAAATATTCAGTAGGCTTGGTTACTTTGGGCGTGATTTACGATCGTGGAGGAGTAAAACGAGCGAGTATACGAACAAGAGTGAGCGGTAGGTCGTAAAACAAGTTTTACGATCGAGGGTCTGTCTGTGCTTTTTTTTTTGTTGATATCTTTTTTCTCTAAAGTCGGTCAGAGACGGTTGCGCGCGCGGTGGAACCTGGCGGTGGTCACGTGGTTCCGTGCGAGAAGGGAAGAGCAATCGATCAAAATTGAAGAAAAAAATGTTTTGGTCAAGTACGCGTCGTTGATCAGGGTCATTTGCGACAAGTCGTAAAGATGGCGCTGCCAAATTTGACAAGTGTTCATTCAACCGATTTGGTTTGCGGTGGATCGCGAAACAAATGAAGCAGCGATATTGTGAGCGAGAGAGCGAGGGTCCTTAACCTACTTTCGAGTTCGTTTTTGTTTAGCTTACCTTTCTTCATGCAAAAACCGCACCGGCTGCTGCTGCTGCTGGTGGTGGTGCTACTGCTCTGCTAGAGCAAAAGTAATAATCCCGTACTTTTGAGTTTTGAATGAAATTTTCTCGGACTCTTTGTGACGTTACACACTTTCTTCACTAGACACGAACGGAAATACCGCAAATACTGCGGTGGGACTCGGGTAATCTCTCGTTGACTGTGTCGTAAATTTGCAGTTCTCCTTGCTGATGCAGCGCCGGTTGCTTTGACACGCTCGCACTTGACACTTTCACTCCCACCAGATGGCGTCCCGCTGGGCAGCCATTAATTAGAAAATTGCACTAAAACAAATTACTATTATCACACGTATAACTTCTTGCTCCGCTTTGCTCCCAGCAGTTGCAGAATTATCACACCGTAGGTTGGAGGATGTCCCGGTCCCGGTCTGATGCAACGAGCTTCACACACTTGACACAACTGATGGGCATTGGTGGCGGAGAATACGGAGATGATGACTACCTCGCCCTCCACACACTTTGCTGGTCTGCTGGCGAGATAATTCGTACCTATATGTAGTCTAAATAATGAGTCAACAGACAAGCCGCCGCACTCTATAATGTAGATACCTATATGGGTGTACTGCTATTATGAACTCCGTATCTCTTTTCTACGCCTCCTGCGCTTGAAGTACACACGGGCTATGGATGATAAACAAACAGCACCCTCTTCTACCGTCAGCTGAACGGATTTCACTCATCCACTACGACACATTATTATAGCCATATATAACAGTTCTCGCGGACCACGTCGACAACACTGACAAAGGTAAGTTAAGTTTTAAACAAACATAATTAACACTATCTGCCTAAATACCAGCGGGTTTCGCTTGTTTTAAGTCACTCGAAGACGTAAATTCCCCGCTTCCGGGTCAACAATTTTCGAACAATGAACAGCAATGTAACAATCAGAGGCACTACAAGTTACTTCGAAGAAAACAACAACAGATTTGCACTTTTCTGCAACACAGATGGCGCAGTTATCACTCAGGAGATAATCACATGTTTAGTAGTTTTGATCATTCACTTTATTGCTTCTTACTGCTCGCTTCCTGCCACAGAACTGCAAAAGAAAACAAACAATTTAATTCAAACCGCTCGCTCATCGGCTGTCCACCAGATAAATCCTCCAACGAAGACGACAACATGCGTTAGCAGCTCTGTTATATCATCTGCTGGCGATACATCTTGCGTGACGCGATTGTGTTATTATTAGAACTTGTCATCATTTTCCCGTGTGTCTTCCTTTAATCCCGACAGGCACAGATGCACACGCTGCTAAAACAGTCACACACAGATTGCCATTGTTTTCTCCCCGCGCGCACATCGAACGAGTGTGTTATCTTTTCGCGTGTGTTATCTTTGATTCCCAGAACAAGAAACGTCAAACTCATCAATCAAAGTAGGCTCGTCGTCGCTCGAATGTCTGTTGTTGACCGTGTTGCGGCGGTATCGCCTAATGCAATTTTAATATCTTCCGAGTGTAGTAAAAAACAAATCACCAACTAATCAGCGTGCGTGCGTGAACCGGAATGAGGAGCAAATTCGAATCGAATGCCTTTCGTTCGCCGTCGCGACGACGACCATGCCGGTCGTCTCTCACCCAACCAACCCAGCGTGGTGAATTCTCTCGCTCTCCATTCTAGTACTACACTCTCGTCTCACTCAGCCCACGAAGAGCGAGAAAATGCATAAAATGGGAGAGAGCGAAAAACTTCTCCTTATGTAAAATTTTGCGTATGTAAAAACGAGCATCCCCCTCGTCGTAGGCTCATCCTTGGTGGAGACGCGCGGTTGGCGGAACCATTCGCCCTCCTCACTGGCCCTATAGGGTAAACGCTTCTATAGTTGCGATGGAGATAGGTTCATATGGAGACTCCATACCCAACTATAGGAACCTAACGCTTCTAACGTACCGCAATTATAGGAGCGTTTACCCTACTCTAATAAATATTGATGGGAGTTGCGAGCGGGTGCGGTGTTGTTGTTTTTGTTATTGCACTTTTCATTCACCCCCCTCGCCGCCGCCTGCTTCGCGGTGGAGAAAAGAACTTCACGATCGAGCCGGAAATTAAAACCGACAACAGAATTTGTCCGTCGTTTTTTGGATTTTATTTTAAGGATGTGCGTGGATGCGCTCTACCGACTCTGTCTTCATCTTCGTGGTTTGGAAGTTATTGCCAAATGAAGTCTGTTACGTGAGAAACGTAATTTGTAATATTTTTTTTTTCATTTGGACTACTTCTTTAGGTCTTCCGTTTGCTCTAGCGAAGCAATTTCGGGCTGTTACATTGTTGTTGGGGAAGGTGAGATATACGTCTTTGACGTTTCGAGCGAAGGGATGATGATGACGTAGGAGGGGGGCCGGATGTGTTTGGATTAGATCAAATTATGTTGATTATTTTATACAGCTGCCAGCCCAGCAGGGAGGTGATCCGGTGCGGGGGTAGGTGTGAAATATATTAATTTTGTTTAATCTGTTAAAATGTGTTGGGTCAGGTAATTTTTCGCCAGTAAAAATCTTGATAAATCATAATAATGGGCCCTATCTGCAACGTTTCGAGGAAATTATACTAGCCCATTTTTCATTCTTGATATTTTGCTCGTCATGTGCACCAAGTACCAAATATGACCTTTCACATTATTTCATCCATTCATCATTTTTAACTTCCACCACGAAAGCAATAGGCGAATCCAATAGAAACTAAGCGATTGATTCAGCCTCTGGCGGTGAATAGAGGAACCCTCAAAATAGTGATGAGGGTGGAAATTTTTACCGTGAAGCATAGGAAGGGGAACATATTTTCACCTTTCCTGATTAATTTATCCACCGCAGGTGCTTGAAATCATCATCCACGTGGAATATTTTGTTTTCTGTTTCTGGTTTGCAGTGATCCGGCTGGTGCTTCCATATATTTTTGAAGCGAAACGTTAAGATTTATAAAATTATCGCAGCGGTTATGACCTTCCGGATTTTTAATGTGTGGTTTTTTCAGCTATAAACCAGTTCAGATCTGTAGACAATCGAAAAATAAGACCACTCCTGATAGAAATTTTCAAGTTGTGCATTAAAATGTACATTATTTTGAGTTTTGAATATCGTCATTATGGTGTAAACAAATGGGTTGGATGACATTTCCTCTCAAAATCGGCTAGCGCACTCTACATTGATGGTGCACGAAAAGAGCCTATTATGAACAAGTATTCGAATAAGGCTTGTACTCGAAAAAAAATGCACCATTTTTATCCGTGTGTAACTTTTCTATCCGTGGTTAAAAATTGATGAAAATCTGGGTATAACTAGTTTGGAGTGAATTGTTTACATTTGCAAAATTTCATAACAGTCGGTTCAGTGGTGGGAGCGATATCCTACGCAGGTGTGGAAGATGCCTTCCTGCACATTCGATTGCCGTCAATGGATAAAATCGATGTCCTTCGATGATTGGCACTAGATCGCGGAACAGAGACTGACGTTAAATAAAGGAATGAAGAACAAGAAGTGGTTATTGAGATGTCATCGAAACAAGAAGAAAATCGCCGGAGAATTTTGCGCGCCGTCATGGAAAATCCGACTGCGACCATGAGATGGATCGGAAGACAACTGGGAATCACCCATACAACTGTGACTAGGGTGGTAAAATCGTTTAAGGAGTCCCAGACGACCGAGCGGCGGGCTGGAAGTGGAAGAAAATCGAAGACAGCTGACCCTGTGAAGACCCGGAAGGTGTTGAATTATTTCAAGCGTAATCCGAACCTTTCGATTCGCAACGCGGCTCTGAAGGCAAAGTGTTCCGCCTGGTTCGTTCAGCAAACCGTGAAACGAGCTGGGCTTCGTGTATTCAAGGTCCGGAAGGCACCGAACCGGCGTGATCAACAAAACACGGCGGCCAAATCCCGCGCAAGGAAGCTTTAAGGAGAGTGGTTAACGAAACTGATGTGTGTGGTTATGGATGACGAAACCTACATCAAGGCAGACGCAAAGCAGATACCGGGGCTGGAGTTCTACGTTGCCAAATCAAGGTTTGATGTTCCGAAAGACATAAAGAAAACGAAAGTGGGCAAATTCGCTCTTGCTCTGGCAGGCCATATGCCAATGCGGTAAACTGAGTAAACCGTACATCACAATGGGTACCATCAACAGCGAAATTTACCGCACCGAGTGCCTCCAGAAGCGTCTGTTGCCCTTTCTGCGATCCCACGGAGGCGAGACATTATTTTGGCCGGATCTGGCATCAAGCCATTACGCGCGATCGACGTTGGATTGGTACCAAACACCGCCAACCCCCCAAATTCACCAGAGATTCGTCCGGTGGAAAGATTTTGGGCCATAATGAAGGCCAAAGTTCGAAAATCGTCCAAGGTGTTTAAGAACGAGCTGGAGTTGAAGAGAGAATGGATGAAAGTGACCAAAAAGGTCGGCTCCACTATTGCACAAAATGTAATGAGGGAAAGGTGCGGGCTTTCAGCGGTGGAAAGGAAATTGAATAATGTAATTATGCCGAAACATAAGCCATATGTTCATTCCCTGAAAGTTTCAAGAAAATCCGACTTAAAATAAATTTTTGGCGAACACTTTTGTCTGGTGCATTTTTTTCGAGTATAGGCCTTAGAGCAGTGCGCGAAACCTAACCTGAATAACGTCGCCAGGGATGTCAGATTTGAAGACTTGTCTTCATTTTTTCCTTGATTTGTTTTCCGTCGATCTTGATTTCCGTACTGAGTACCAATGCCCACATCATCAGAGATTTGATGCCTCAAAATATGCCGACGGCGCCGACTGGGATTGAACCCAGGCCCTTTGGAGTGAGCTGTCTTCATTTCGAAGACATTTGAAATTCTGTGTAGACATTTACTTTCGCTGGAATTCTGAAGACATTTAATCTTTTGTGAAGACTTTTGAAGACATATGAAGATATTTTATGTATGAGGTACGCAGTAAGAATAACTAATTTTGCACGTGAAGGAATCCATCTTTTACATCAAGGATGAGATTTAACCAAACAAGACATGTAAAACTAAGTGCCCCGAGACTGAAAAGTTTGCTACTCAACGAAAAGTACGTTTGATTGATCTAAATTTCGTGTCTGTTATGATTTACGAAGTTCGGAATACTGCAACTTTTTTTGCATTTAAAAAATTGCAAACGCCTAGAGTTTAAAATATTTGTTTGACTTCAAAATCTAGAAAAAACAAATTAAGATTTTTATCATGAAATCCCACAAATTTGATTTATTTTAAGTTAACAATGTTCAAACGTCCAGCATTTCGAATATTTTTGTATGTTGTATGAAACATTCCACGTAACAGAATCATGAAAATTACTTCATTTTCTGGATATTTATATTGGCAAATCAAATTTGCCTTCCGTGGAGAATAACAGAACCGAAGAACTATGAACTGTTCTTAGAGTTACCTCTATGCTAATATCAGAGGTAACTCTAAGACCAGAAGGTCCCGAAGAAACGAGCTCAACTTTTTGGCTCAGCTCTGGTACTATCTTCGGTTCCAAGCTAATCGATTCACCCCTCGAAACATAGGAAAATCCACTAACCCCTCATTTTATCTGTCAAACTTTTATAGCGAATCAAAACAAACATTGTGTAGTAGTAGAATTTCGACTAGAATGGGGTACGTTAATCGTTTGCTTGGGACCAATAGGCTAGTCAAGTAGCGAGTCGATTTAAAATCGTTAGTTTCGTATTGATTGTTGCTAATATGCCATTTGTTTTCATATTATTTGCTTAACTTCGATACGATTCGTTAGTAGGGACATCTGATAGAAGGCTAACATTTGTTGAGGGGTGTGAGCATCCTTTGTTGTAGTTGAGAAGACGGATTCAAACGCATATGGTTCCCCCTTTGATATGTTCGAATGTCGGAGCGGAGGCCCAACCAAAAAGCAGCCCAAGTATTAAAAGACCAACCAGCGAAATTTGACTGTAGTAGTTTTTGCCATAGTTGTTTTGAACAGTGATGAGATTTTTCATTGTCATCGACAGACTTTCGCACGATATTGACATTGTTTTTCACATAGTCAATAATAGACTTGATCCTCGAAGAAACC